AGGTAAAGTAATGAAAAGTTTTGTTGCGCTAGTTACCTTACAGATAAAGCGTTTTAGCCTTAAAATACCTTATTAACACTTTCATTAACATACTTCAAGCTCTTGCAGATATGTTGTTACCGTTATCCAAAAAAAAAAAAAAAAAAAAAAAAAAAAAAAAAAAAAAAAAAAAAAAAAAAAAAAAAAAAAAAAAAAAAAAAAAAAAAAAAAAAAAAAAAAGAAAATATATTGGTTAAATGGACAAGATTTCAAAACCTACCGTTGCTCGGTGGCCCGCTTGTAGGGCTTCGGCTTTTGCGCGTCGTTGTCCATGTTTCTAAACCTTGCAAGTTGTAAATAATAGAGAAATAATGAGAAAATAATGAGAAAAATGAATCGGAAAAGAATAGATAAATCCAATCGATTGCAAAAAGGGACTAATGCTAAAAAGTCTACGACCACAACCATCAAAAATCGCAAGGAAAAATTTTCTAACAATCCTGTTTTTTGTTTAAATAAGCAAGAAAATGACGAACGAGGAAGAGCCGTGCTGAGAAATGGGTGGGTGGGAGGGGGAAAAGCCGGGGCGAGCAGACTTGTTTGTGGATTAGGAAATTGAGCAAATTTGACGAGCATCCACGAAAAATTCGCGCGCTCCGGCCGGGATCGCCCCGAGCACGTGAATTCCAGAGTTGGGTGGTAAAAATAGATGATGTCCTGGGGAGGACAATCGGGGTTTAATGGTAGAAATACTTGAGGAAAGTGGAAAATGTTTTCGCTTTCAGCGGGACAATTAACATAAAAGGCTGTTTATTTAGTTAAAAAAAATAAAAATAGATTGGCATCGTAAAAAATAATTTATGAGTCACATTTCCAGATCGCGAAGGTTTAAGAAAAGAAAGGAAACAACTAAACTTCATTTAATCTCTCGAAAAATACTAAAATGCCTCAAAATCTTCTAGAAAATTCCGTTACTATTGGCTTGTTCTTACGCATTATCGGGGGGGGGGGCACAAAAATGTTTTCTTGGGTTCCAACTTTTCAAATATAAGTGGCGAAAATGTGTCTCAACTATTTTACTATTCAAAAGCGCACAACCTTTACAACATTCGATTTAAAGATGCAAAAATATATAGATTTAAAGAGCAAATATGGCCGTTTTTTGACCAAAATTTCCAATGTTTCAAAGTTTTAAATGATTCTTCGCGTTAAATATAGTTTTATTCGTTAAAAACGTCATAAAAATACCTCCTTTTAAGTTACTAAGCATTTCCAGACAATAAAAAATTTGACCCCCCACCCCGCCAACATTCTAGAGCCCATAAAAATACGTTGAATTTCATCGAAAATGAAAGCGCGCATAGTGAAATGTCTAGTTAGTGCGAATGTTTGTAGGTATGGGCTCGTAGGCGCGATTGGTGGGGGATGTGTGGAGCGATGCGATAGCGATCTGGACCGAAATGATAGACTCAGCAAATAGTCTCCCCCGATGCAACAACACATCACAACGGGGAGCAGCAGATGACAGGGCAGCTGACAGTTTTCGTCGCGAGACCATAATGTGAGGCGTGAGCGCCTTGGAGAGTGACATCTTGCTCCACTCGTTAGGCGTTTCAATACAAATCAACTTACTATTACTAAATTTGTGTAAAAATATGTTTTTAGGAAATATTATTTTTGGAAGTAGGGGTATTCGGGAATATGTTTTTTTCAGAAATCTGATTTTCGAAAATGTGTATGAAAATCATTTTTACAAGTCTTCTTATGATGATTGAGCTATTTTTTCAATTGGAAAAAGCCCTTGAGAAAACTAGAAAAACGTAACGTCACAAGAATTTTTCGAAAATCGTTCAGTTTTGGCCGAAAAATCGATGTATTAATAGATCCAAGTCAAAATGATAAAATCCGCAGGAGTTCTACAACAAAGAAGCCAGACCCGAGCCGAGAGCCCTCGTTTTATAAAGCAACCCCTGCGGATAGCTGACCACCGACGCCCCCGGATTATCCAGGGCAGCGACGCGTACACGCCACGGTCTTGCGGCAATGATCTTGGGCGCCGTAATCGTGACGGAATGGTGTATCGGAAAGGGCGTGAAAAATACGAGAGTGACTCGTGTTGACGATGCTGGATCGTGTTGTCGAATAAACAAAGGACTGGTGAACCACAGTGGCAGATCGATGAAATGCGGATTGTGGGAAAGTGAGGCCTCTATAATCCACCGCTCTGTTTTTCCTTATTACGATACATGGAAAAAAAAAAAAAAAAAAAAAAAAAAAAAAAAAAAAAAAAAAAAAAAAAAAAAAAAAAAAAAAAAAAAAAAAAAAAAAAAAAAAAAAAAAAAAAAAAAAAAAAAAAAAAAAAAAATTTTTTAAAAAAAAATAATTTTTTAAAAAAAATTAAAAAAAAAAAAAAAAAAAAAAAAAAAAATAAAAAAAAAAAAAAAAAAAAAAAAAAAAAAAAAAAAAAAAAAAAAAAAAAAAAAAAAAAATTTTTTTTTTTTTTTTTAAAAAAAAAAAAAAAAAAAAAAAAAAAAAAAAAAAAAAAAAAAAAAAATTAAAAAAAAAAAAAAAAAAAAAAAAAAAAAAAAAAAAAAAAAAAAAAAAAAAAAAAAAAAAAAAAAAAAAAAAAAAAAAAAAAAAAAAAAAAAAAAAAAAAAAAAAAAAAAAAAAAAAAAAAAAAAAAAAAAAAAAAATCTGTTAAAGCAAAAGCTAAAAGGCAGCTGTTCATTTTCGAGATGGTAGTAGTAGTACTTCTTGGCAGAAAGGTTGCATAGTAACTTGAAACCCACAAAAAACTCACTAATACGATACTCATAAAGCTTATAAAGGATCGACTTTGTTTTTATATCCTATTTGCTTTTAAAAAGGCATTGCGGCAGAGGATAGGAGGATAGAAGCGGAAGCCAGGAAGAAGCTGGAGTTGCGGCATAATAGGCGCTGTTTTCGAAGCGCTTCGTGGCAAACGAGATATGCGGGTGGACGAAGAGGCCCCAGGCAGTCAGGGTCGATATGCGCCTCGAAGCTGCCAGCTGACCGCCAGCCCTATGGCCCACACACGTCCCAATAATACTACTAGACATTCGGACACGGGAACTGGGCCACTGTTGGAGGCCCGGATGGCCACAGGGGGATAGGCTGTCAGGGCTGTCTGGAAAATCTCGGTTCGCTCTTGTCGCTAACAAAAAAGTGGAAATTGTGACTTGCGCATTATCGAGGGGGGAACCAACCATTGTTCTTAAGATCTAATTTTTCAAATCTAAATAGTGGAAGTATTTCTAAACAGTCCTTTGCTATTCCTAAGCGCTAAAACTTCACAAAATGTCGTTAATAAATGTCGAAATTTGCGATTTTCGGCCAAAAATCATTAGTTACCGTTTTTTACCAACATTTCGAGTCTGAAAGTTCAATAACTCTGTGATAAAGAAAACTGACCGAAAGAGATGCATAGTTTCTTCGACTTGTTAGCGCTGAACTTGAAATTTTCGTGAAAATCTTCAACCCGTATCTCAGTGCGTTTTAAAGTTTATGGAATACCCTACCACTCCAGCATCAGTAATTCTCAACGTTTGATCCGGGTCCTTGTAAAAAAGCAATTTTCCACAATTTTCCGCTTTTTCCGTTTAGGGCCCTAGCCCCTCTAGCGCAATCACATTGTGGGTTCGTGTGAACCCGAGCACACTAGTTGATTCAGTCGGGTAATCCGAGGCCACAGTCTCGGGGCAGCCCTCGAAAACGCTTTTTGCCACCTCGTTCTCCCCTCGCATCACACGACGCCTCCCCCGACATACCGGGAAAACAGCTAGGCGAAACCGATTCCGCCCCGGATTATTCACGGTTTGATGGTCCTCCAGGCCACCCACAAACTTAGAATCGATTCAGGTCCGCTTTATGTTCGCCTTGTGGTGTTATCTGTTAGAAAACCACACTTTTGTCTTTCCGCGCGTTTCCTGGACCCGCTAAGGCCAAAGATATAAGTGCAGGGGAGGGGCGTAGTCTACTTTAAATCCAAAACAGCATAAAGGATTTATATAAACTTGTTATGCCCCTATGTTATGATTCAAGTTTGATTCCAATTAGAAAACCATGACAACTTCTAGAGCTAACTTTTCGACGATAGCCCTGCGGGGTGTGTGTTGTCGCGTACTCTTACGCAATGAAATCCTCTCGGGGCGTTTCGGTGATCTTTGATATTATATTAATTTGCTGCTAAAATAGGCAAATCTTTTGTTATTTGGTCGAATAGTTTTATCTTTCGCCTCACTCTGTTCATTAGACAGGCTTACAAGTCTCTCCGACCCTAAGCCGACTTTTCTCGTAATCTGCGGGGCTTACATGCCCTCACGCTTTCCCCTTTCGCGCATTCGCAAAAATATTTTGATATCACGATTGATTGAAAGGTTTTCAGAGCACGAGCGGGCCAACATCATCCCATCCTTCACGCGTGACACATCGGATCGGCTTTATTTGCTCGTACGCCCTCCTTCCTATCTTCGCAGCTTTCGAGGCCACAACCCAAGCACATTCATCGCAGATTCCAAAAAGGTTGGTTTTTATTTTGAACATATTTGTGAGCATCACAATGGTTTGGGCCACTTTTGGTATCGAGTTTTTAGGTCATTCTAGGGCGGTTTTTTGTGCTCATAAACAAGAACGCACAACCATCAGTTTGCTGCAAAATTCCTGTGGAAATTTAAATTTATGACAAGTATACATGGGCACAATCCAAGGCCTTTAGCAAGGCAGGCCATCGCTTCGGATGACACCCTTATTCTTAGACTCAATGTGGGTGTAATGTAGTAACAATTACAAATTAAAAACTTATCGAAATTATTGTTTTTCGAATTTCATTCTTCTTTATTCCAAATGAGCCCCAAAAAATAGCCTGGAATGTGCTAAAAATTCGATACCAAAAATGCCCCCCGAACATAGCGCCGATTTTTGTTTATAAGTATTTCTAAACCTTATTATTCCTCCGTTTTAGCTTCGCCACTCCGGGGCCACCGGGCCTTTGAACCGCGGCAATGAAGTCTTTGAAGCCGCTCGAACTCGCCGCCTTCTTTTTGGTATTATCACTGTTCGTGGTGGAGGTTGTTTTCACTTTTTCGGATAAAAATTTCTTTTTTTTAGACTGGCCTCTCGGTTGTTGAGCATTCGATTCTGTGCTCGACCTTACTCGCCAACTCTGTACTTCTAATGATCTTGATGTATCGACCAATGGACAACAAATCAGAGGCGCTGTTTTTCAGGTTTGTTGCCAAACTTGTGCAGGAAACTTTTTTTAGGATATGTGCTTGCGTGGCGTTCGTTGCAATCCTTTTCGTCTCGCTTACTCACGCATTTGAAGCGTTGTCAGTCCACGGCGAACACCTACATAGCGACCAAAATGGTAACCTAGGCGTTTGTTTTACATTTTGAGGTTTAGTTCTCTGGCGCTACGTGGCCATCGTGGATTTGATCGTGAAGTCGGTGCTCGTGCTTTCCGGCTTGGCCCCATCGCTCGGTCTTTGGCGTCCAGCGCAACTGTTACTGCACGCCATGGCTCCAATCTTGGTATCAAGGCTGCCGGTTCTCAATTTATTCTTGGTATCTAGGTGATTGCGGTTTCGATTCAAAAGTTTGCCGACTTCTTCGACTTTGCCGTCACCGGAGACAAATTGGATGCCATCTTATCGCTGATGGTGGTTTTCACGTCAGTTGGCATCATTCTTCCTGCATGTAAGTTTTATTCTCAAGCCTAATCTTTTTTTTTTTTAGTCAAAGGATTGAAGCCCTACATCTTCGCCGACACGCCAACCTTCTTTGACCCGAAAGATTTCCAGAGCGAAATCAATTCTACGGTTTGCTTTAATATATAGGCGTTATAAAGGTCCTTTTAGTTCCCCGGGATCCGCTGCTCGCATATCCACGTCTATCGCCAATGGCCGGCGGCTTTTGAAGCGTTAATCCACTTGGAGCTAACGGTATTTTGGGTATAGGAGGCATACCTAAAATTTTCGTAGGTGGATCGACGAGCCAGAAATTGGGCGGAGAGCGCGCGGCAACGCTACGAGGAAGCCGCAAAGTATATGAGAAGCGCGTTGTGCAAGGGAGGAGCGAAAAAGGTTTGTGTTTATAAATCCTACCTTATATAATTTTGGCGTGTGTGTTTCTCCGTCGTGTGGGGTAATCGACCCTCCTCTTTCAAATGGCGTTTTCAGAATTCCGATAAAATACAAGTTTACAAAGTTAAAGCCGGTTTTATTCATTTTTGGGGGTCCGGAGGGCTAATTTGCATAATGTGAAAAAATACAAATTTGCTCATTCTTGCGTGTTGCACGCGCGTGTGGTGGGGGAAGGGGGCCCGCAGGACCCGAGCTATCGGAAAGTCAAATTTTTCATGCAAAGGCCGCATTCCAGCGCCCAAGACCCGCGCAGCGGGTTTTGGGCGCTGGTGTGGTATAATTTATGGTAATGGTGCTTTCGCATTATCGGCCGGCGAATCCTCTATGACCAAGCGTGCCTAGCATATATCGAGGCAGTATTTCAGCCTGCTTAGTCAAATTTTATAATTTTTAGGGACGCACCTATGGAAACAAAATTGGCAACGTAATAGTGCGGAAAATCTGTACGCGTCGGTATTATGACATCTGGAAAGCCCAGGCAAAGATTTCGTGCTCCCCGCTGGTAAAACTCCTTTGAGAACCCCCTCCCCCACCGATGCGAAAGAACCATTAAAACATTCGCCACCCTGTATATTTAATATATTTAATTTAACACTATATATGTAATTTTGCTAGGTGCTGGTCGAGCCGAAATTCGTGACGGAAGGCGCGAGCGGGATGCCGTGGAGCGGATGCGTGGCGTCAGCGTGCCAGAAGGAGACCGGCTGCTGTCAACCGTCCACACCAACTTTGACCTCGGCCCCGACCCATACCCCTTAAAGTATCTATTCACTTTTACAATTTCATATCATAAGATTCCTTTTATCGATCTAGTCATTCCATATACCATTCCGTTTTTGATGTATTGCGTAATTATTGCTCACGCCAAATACTCGATCGTCAGCTGTATACATAGTGCTATGTCATTCGTTTTTCTGTTTTTTTTAGAAGTGCATATCAACAATGTAATCGTTTACTTTACCGCATAATATCCGTGGTTGTCGTAATTTACGTAAACTTTTGAAATTGTTGAATTTCCGGGGTAAGGGCAACCATCTCGTGCACGACGGCATCCCTGATTTGCATTGTCAATTTCCTATAAACAGTACGTGCATACTTTCGTCAAAACCGTAGTGTTCCCCGCTAAAAATGCTGCACTTATCATCACGTTTGAGCCCCCGTTGTCCCAAAAGGGTGTTTATGCAAAATGGGTTGGCTGGCATCGCTCGCCACATCATGAGCCCTTTGTTTGCCCCGAGGGCCCAAAACCGGTATTGGAGCCCGTAAAATTAACAGTACAGTTTTTTGGCGTTGCCTAGACAGGTCCGATTTAGCATACGGCGATAAGACGCGAATGAGGGGGCCTCCACATTGTATGTAAATACTGGGCGCGGTACTGGTAATGGCGGGAGTTTTTTTGGGGGGCGACGGTGTGGTGCTCGGAACCGGGTGATAAGCTGAGAAAGTTGGCAGGTTTTTTGGTGGATTTCAGGAGAACGAGCTTCAGCGACCTCTACACTTGCGCCAGCGCAGTTCGTAGCATAAGATACCTCATTGGGATAACGACGCTTGGAAACTTTGAAAGATTTGTTTATCATGGCCTAAAATCACGAGTTTATCGATTGCCATTGCGATTTTGGGCCTAGAGATCATCTTCAAGTTGCGTAGTGGCCGATCGAGGATGAGGCGTAGTGTAACGTTTTTTTTCAAGTGACGATAAATTTTCCGCGATAACATCCAAAACGGCATTGTAGCAAATGGAACACTAGAAAACTATCTAAAACTTTAAAAAATATTGAAAAAATTCTAAATTTTTCCCGAAAATCGTCTATTTTGGGTCGGCAAATCTTTATTTTTTCATGGTTTTCATAAAAACTTGTAAAGTTTTTATCAGGTTTGTTTGAAGGAACCGATTTGCTGTGATGATAAATGATTTTCTATTTTTACCTAGTCTTTTTTTGACAGCCAGACACCCGACTTCGGATACCGGTAATGGCGGGGGTTTCTTTTTATGTGTGAGCGTTTCGGGACCCCGGCTCTGACTGGCAGGCTGTATGGCAGTAAGGTGATAAGCAGCCGATTTTGGGAGTTTGCGAGTAGTTGCTGGGGGGTCTTATCGAAAGACGCCGTTGTGGGGGCCATTGGCTGCCACTCCGCGACGCTTCGGGTTGACAGACACCCAGGCACTACGCGACAACCCACGCCATTCACCAGTGGCTGTCTGAATTTTTGGAGAGCCATGTCGCGGTACGGTAGCTAACATTTCGCAATTTTGCCATTTTCTGGCCCAATATTGATCAGTTATTTGCTCGCTAATGTTATTATTGGAATTTTAAAAGTTGTGCGGGTTTATACGAGGTGGGTTCTTGTCAAGTCTAAGCCTAAGACTAGGCGCATGCCTATGCCTATACCTAAGCCTAAGCCAAGCCCAAGCCTGAGCCCAAGCCTGCGCCTAAGCCTAAGCCCAAGCCTAAGCCACAGCCAAGCCTAAGCCAATGATTTTTTGAAGCCCAATCAAGCTTTCAACTAGTTTTCTGCCATCACTAGGCGTTTAAGAGAATACGGTGCTTCCCGATCACCGATTCAAATTTCCTGGGCGTCACATTTGAATCGAGCCCCGCGGGGAGCGTGAGATATCAAACACCCCGTTTTTTTCTGGTCGACGCCCCAAGCCCGTTCCTACGATAGCCGCGAACGCACTTTTCAAGGCCATTGATATCCAGGATTTGACCCAATTTTTTCGAGCTCGATTTTTTCATTGAGCCGTTCGCCCGTTCATTCGTCGCCGGGCGGGATAAGCGCACTGGATTCAAACTGCTAGCTGAGCCCGGGGCGTCGGGTGCATGCGTCTTCGGTAGGTGACTTAGATGATTTTTGTAAGATGTTTTGAACATCTACTGATGGCATTTTAGGTTCTATTTTATTGCTCGAGTTATCAGTCCTTTTAAAACCGTTAAAAATTTGTTTCTTTTTTAAATTCGGCTCTTAATATTGAAAACAATGTTTGGAGTCACCAATCGTCTGAAAATCGGTTAAATTTTTGTGATTGAGCACGACTAGCTATACAAAAAGTATTTTTAGCTAGCAAAACCTATGGAAATTGGCTAAATTTTCCTTTCACAAACCCAATAGTTTCAAAAAGGTTTTTCTTAAAACCAAACTTCAACTGGTTTTTGGGTTTTTCGATACCTTTCACTTAATCCAATACCCGTCATATAGCCATCAATCGCCGATAACTCTAATATTCCGCAACACAACGGTGATGAAATACGGTAGCTTCTCCACGGCCGTAAACCCTGAGTAAAAGCTGATATGGACCCCGCCGCGGGGCACGCGTTACGAAATTTCTGCCATGGATACTGTAGCCTCTCCCCCCTGGCCCAATATGCGTCTGGGATATCACCGAATTGTGTGAGCTTTATCGGTGAATCACGCATTCGAAAATATCCCCGATGTCAATTGGGCCCTCCTCGACGACGTAAGCAAAGGCTAAGCCGGAAGCTAAGCCTAACGCACGTATGCTTTCAAGCTGTCTAAGCCTAAACCTACGCCTGAGCCTAACATAAGCACAAGCCTAAGCCGAACCTAAGCATAAGCTTAGGCCTAATCATAACCTAAGTCTAAGGCTGAACCTGAGCCTAACCCTAGGCCTAAAAGCCTTTGCTTAAGTCTAAGTAAGTCTCCTATGTCTAGTTGTACCTAAAAATGAGCCTAAGCCCAGCCGAAAGCTGAAGCTTGTGCTTAACCTCAAACTCCTTAAGCGAGGTCCAAGCATCGGCTTACGCGCTAAATTGAAGCAAAACTCAGGTATAAACAAAATTTATCCTAAATCTTAAGATCAAGAGCGCATTAATACCAAATCCAATCCGGGGCGGGCCATCGATGGCCTGGGCCCCGGGGGCATCCCGGGGGATACGGGCCGGGGGGGGATGGACGCTCTTTTACTACTGTCGGCCCAGCATCTGATGCGATTACCTGAGGGTGGAGGAAGCGACGCAAGAGACGAGGCGATAGAGTCCCCGTCTTCTGGAGGGGTGAAGAGGTCAGAGGGCCCTCCCGCTACGAAAGAAGAGCCAATTTTCGCCCGGACGACGAAAGGGGGGGGCTGGGCCAAGCAGAGGCCAAGCAGAGGGCCCAGACTCCCCTTCCCCACACACCCCTGGGACCAACGACGACGGCAGCGGGGGGCGACAATCCCGACGACGCGAGACGATGCTCGGCTTCAGCGTCTTGCTCGTGTGTTTAGCCGCTATAATCGGTTGTTCGGCTGCTGCGAGGGCGGGCGCCACGCCGAGGTAAGTCGGGAAAATATTAATGGTAAGATGACGTCGTTTTGGCCCTCAAGTATGCCCTGCAATTAAGGCGGAGAGTTTCTGACCGGACTACAAGGAGGCGTTTTTAGCTCAATGCCAATTTGGATTAGGGACCAAGTCTACCTTGTGCAGAATTTTGCGCTGATTTCGAACACGGATTTAAAATCTGCAAAACGTTCAGAATCAAGAAAGATGAAGCCTTTCCGACAAAAAGGCAAATAGTTGCCCAAATTGGGCCATTTTGAGCGTTCGTAACTTCTTGAACCTGATCGTTTCGCAGATTATGATACAGGTTCAGAATCAGGGCAAAATTCGGCACAAGATACGCATGATCTCGTACGGAAACACGATTGTCGCTAAAAAGTCTCCTTTTTTAGTAAAAAAGTCAGCCGAAATGGATAGGACTAAACCCCCCCCAGATTACTTTTAATTGTAACTATATTACGAAGACCCAGCCCGTTTTAGATGCGCCAACGACACCGAGGTGATCGACTATATCCTCTACGACACGTCTTTACACTACAATCAATATAAAATCCCTGCCATTCCTGTTGACGTGCGGGTGGAGATGTGGGTCCAGGAAATCACGTCCGTATCGGAAATGACGCAGGATTTCCAGATTGGTAAGTGGTTTTGCCGCCCAAAAAACGTGGCTTCCGGTTGGCGCCCAAAAAGAAGAGTTTAGACGTTTACATGAACGAGTTTTGGCAAGATCCGGGGCTCGTCTACGATCACCTGAATCCCTGTCATCGAAATATTTCCTTCGACTATACGATGCTGGAGACGATCTGGACACCGAACACATGCTTCGTCAATTCGAAGACTGCCCAAATTCACAAGTCGCCGTTCGTCAACATTTTTCTAATGGTTTTCCCCAATGGTATATTTTTGAAGCTGTTTTTTCGCTTTTTTGAAGATTCTCTGGTATACAGAAATATCTCGGAAAGCGCTTTGTATAGAAATTCCATTAAATTTTCTAGCTAAAGTCGTTTTTAGGCTCTATCTGGTCAAATTGGCGAATCAAAACGACGGGACCGTGCGAGATGGATCTCTCAAAATTTCCGATGGACTCGATCGATTGCAACCTCGTCTTTGAGAGCTTCAACTATAACAATAAGGAGGTGAATTTTAATGGTTATCTTGCGCTCCTCTGCATATTGCTTTATTGATTTTTGTCGTTTGGGGATTTTGGGGGCTACGCCATTTTGGCCAAGGAGGGATTAGGCTTTCTAGGCGTGTATTCGGTTTCACATCCCTTGCGCTAAATCAAGCCTTGCCTTAAAAGGAGAATAACGGAATACGAGATTTACTTCCACATATCGTGATTTAATTAGTTTATTTCTTGATTTACTACGCCTTGGCCTAATTAAGCCAAGCCTAACCCACGACTAATCTTAAATCTAAGCTTAGGTCCGAGCCTAAGCCTGAGCCTAAGCCCAAAACCCAAGCATAAGCTTACGATCA